GACGTGGAATGTTTCTTCTGCGCAGTCTAGGGGTGTGGTGAGGATGTCTGAGATTAGGGTGCGGTTGGCGGCCATGGCGCGTACGGCGTTGTATTGGAGGAGTGTGATGAGGTGGTCTGGGCAGAGGGGGAAGATGATGTGGAGTTGGTTCCTCTTGGTCCTCTCTGGGAGAAGGGGATTTCGTGCGTTATATAGATTTTTGACACGGGATGCTGGGACTGTAGAGAAGGATTCCTGTTTGATATCCCAACATTCTACCACGGCTTCTGATTTGATGAGTGATTTGGCTGCGGCATCGACTGCTTCGGATTTGTTTGCTAAGGCTTTACGTTTGCCTACTCGGCTGTTAATTTCGATAACTGAGTAATACCTGGCGTGAGCCTCGCTTACGGTATGCTCTTGTGTTGAGTCTAGTCTGTGCTTTTCTTCTTGCTGCGGCATTTGTGGTCCCGGTCCAGTCGTCTTGTCCACTTGTCGCCTAAATCCGGTGAGCAAGGCCTATCATGATATGTCCGAGCGGCACGTACCTCGGCCAACTGCGGCATGGAGGAGAGTTGAATGCATGGTGCCGTTGTCATCGTGATTCTATCGGACCACGAAGCCGGTGATGAACGATGCAAATTCCCTGAGGATCATGTAGGATGCTCGAAATCACGAGTCTGGCGCTCGGGAACGGGGGAATCGATGTCGACCATGTCAGCAATTGAGGCACAGACAACAGAGGCTAGTTGATGCATTGATGAGATATCATTGGTCAGTCCACCAGATACCAACCCGAGCCGGTCAAGTGTCATGCAACCTGCTCACCTCCATGGCTGACAACTAGGAAGCCCCATATTTTATGCAGCTGGCTCACTTCCTCAGCCAGCATTTTCCTATTGGTCCATCAACTCACCCTCAACCCGGATATTGCATGATTGGTTATCGATCATGCAGGCTGCTCACAACGCTTGATACCTGCAAGAAGATCCGAGATCCAAGTATCCTGGAAATTGAGCAATCAAATGGATATAAATATGGCAGCCCCGACCCAGAGTCTTTGTGTCGTCCAGATCATACATTTCAATCAAACACATTATATCATCTCCTTCTTACCATCATAACTCCATAACCCATACCTCAACTTCACCAAGGGCTCTTTTGCAATATGAGCTTCCATCCCGACTCTCTTCCTGATCTTGATGGCAAGGTCTTCATAGTCACGGGTGGTAACTCCGGCATGCAAGTCTTCCCCTCGACTAGCTTATCTACAAGTCCAAATGACTAATGTTTCCACATCATAGGGGCTACTACACCGTATCCCACCTCGCAGAACACGGCGCTCACGTTTACATGTGTTCCCGATCTCTAGAAAAAGGCACAGAAGCCATTGCGAGCATCAAAAAAACACACCCCTCGGCCAATATCGACCTTTTACAAATGGATCTTATGAACCTCACTAGCGTTGTCGCAGCAGCCAAGCGCTTCCTCACCCTTGAGACAACCCTACATGGCCTGGTCAATAACGCAGGTATCATGGCGGCACCATTTGACATGACAAAAGACGGGCACGAAGCCGAGTGGCAAACCAACTACCTGTCTCACTGGGTCTTCACAGAGCACTTACTCCCAGTAATGCTCAAGACATCGAGAACGCTTCCTCCCGGCAGCGTACGCATCGTCAACCTCACTTCATCAGGTCACTTAGGCGCACCCAAGACTGGCATCAACTTTGACGACCTGAACCTCAAGGATGAAGGCCCATGGCAACGGTACGGTCAGAGTAAAGTCGCCAACATTCTGCACGCCAAAACCCTGCACAAGATTTACGGCCCCGGCTCAGAGAATGATGAGGGCGAAATTTGGACTTCATCCGTGCATCCTGGTCTTGTTGAGACGAACCTCTCGACGTCGGTAGAGCCGTCCGAGAAGGGCGTGTTGAACATCCTATCGGCCTTGCGTGTGTTCAAGATGTTTTGGTCTGCCGACAAGGGCTCGTGGAACAGTCTGTTCTGTGCGGCAAGCCAGGATATGAAGGCGGAGCAAAGTGGTATGTATACTGATATCTATCACCGGTGTGGTGAACCATGGTGGGAGAGTAGTGCGGTGAAGGACGAGAAACTCGCAGAGAGATTGGACAAGTGGACTAGGGATGTGATGAGTACAGAAGGATGGATAGAGTAATTGTGTCGTCTATTCTTCTCATTGGGGTTATAGTTGGTCTTGCATCTGGTTTCTTTCGATCGTAGTTAATTGAGCCTCTAGGCTAGAATTTCGGGTCCATTTATACACTGCGGTTTATAGCTATTGCTCCATCTACTTCAACAGAGCAGCGTTAGACTGCGCTGTCGAGGTTAATCGCACCTGAGGAGCAAAAACCCTCGGCAACGATTGGGCCGCACTGTGAGTGGCAAGTGAAGGCTAGCATTATGCCGTGGCTCGTTGGGCGGCCTCGGAGTAGCGAATCCAGAAATGCCAGGATCTAGGAAGTTTGAAAAACAAGTGTGAACAAATTAAGCGTAGCATGGATCATGCTTGGTAATTTTAGGGCGTCCTCGTAATTTTGAACCTTTGCTCGATTACTTGAGTCCTTTCCGCCAGCAACCAAAGCTTTGGTCATTCTAGCTGGCGTCTCAGTCGCTTTGACAAGTCGACTACCGTCATCGTCGAGTTCCATAAGACCCTAGTCTCAGCCATCCTTCGTGGCCCCCGCATACACCGAGACGTTCAGCACCCAGTCTGAGTTCTCGTGGAGAATCAAAAGATTCTAAGCAACAATATATTTGTACATGGTTGATCAATGGGACATGCAGTCACTTTGGGAAAGCCGCCATGTGTGGCTCTCAATAGAAATAGACGAGAAATCCGGAAGTCTCCAAGTAGTATGGCATGTTATCCACGACCTTGATGTGTCAGTTGAAGAAAACCAGGATGCGATTTTAATTTCGGCTAATGATTCAATGCAGAAAACCTGACATTTGGAAACCTATCTGTGGAAAAACACATACCTCCAGATACGCAGAGACTACCGGGCTGGTGCATCTTCGGTGAAGCAAGCAGTGTATTAGCGGCCTCTTGATATTCGCTGTTTCTTGCCACTGATACGTACGGATTAGGACTTTTTGGAAGCAAAGCTCCTCCGGGCAATTCTCATGAGTTGCTGCATCTTCAACGCCGGCCCGGCGAATTTCTACATCCCTGTCAACGTCCCCCCAATGATAAATCCGCCGGCTTTGGCTTCCGATTATCTGCACTCCAGGCCTTGGCATCGAAATGTAGAAGTGTATCACTATTATTCAATAACCTCGAAAAGAACAGGCACTGAGTAGTGATAGTGCAAAACCTAGTTCACCACCACAGTCGTCAAAGAGAAGGACATAAGCCAGGAAGCACAATCTTGGCAAAAATCCAAACACTTGAGTTCATCATTCGTTTCCAGTATTTAACTACAGGCGTGCAAATGAGGCAATGAGTCCACGCTTTCGCCAGAAGACAGTCCCCGTAACAGGGTAAGAGCGAAGCATGATCCCGATAGCCCTCACAGATCAACCAACAAAATCACTAGCTGTTCCGCGGGCGGTATAGGCCATGCACTGTGTCAGGCGTTCCGGAAATAAGGTATCGTTCGCAGGAAAACTAAACAATCCTGTGAATGAAGAGCCGTTGACGTATATCAGGACTCCATGTCATCGCTACAGCTCGCAGAGAAGATGTGATCGCTGAACTAATTGCCGAAGGCTTTGACGCGCTGCAGTTGGACGTGGCGAGCGAGGAGAGCATAGCTGCCTGCCATACAGAAGTCCAAGATAGAACGGGAGGCAGGCTGGATATCCTGGTCAACAACGCGTAAGTACACGTCAAGCGGCACCCTTAACACTTCATTCCTTCATTCGATCGCACCCTTTGTTAATGCCGCCGCTCGCGCAGTGGAAGAATCCACATCTCCCCCGCCACAGATCTATCCATCCCAGACGTCCGCGCTAACTTCGACACGAACGTCTTCGGCATCATGGCGATGGTCAAAGCCTTCGCGGACGATCTCATCGCGGCCCGAGGCCTAATAATCAACATCTCCTCCTGCGCCGCCGTGACGCCGTACATGTTCGCATCAGTCTACTGCGCCAGCAAGGGCGCCATCGCAAGCTACAGCCGCACTCTGAGGCAGGAGCTGCGACCGTTTGGGGTCCGCGTCATGGTCGTCGTGGCGGGCACCGTCAAGTCCAGGATCGCTGAGAAGCCGCAGCCCAGTCTCTCGCCGGGCTCGCTGTACGCGAAGATGAGCGATTTGTATGAGCGATACGTACACCTGAGCCAGGAGGAGGGGGCAACGGATACAGATGGTTTTGCGGAGGAGCTGGTTGGGAATGCGCTGAAGCCTGAGGGCTGGCTTTTCGGGCGGTCGGATTGGTTGTGGTGTGGTGGTATGTCGAGGAAGATATGGTGGGCATTACGACTGTTTGGGGAATGGGTCATTGATTGGCAGACTTGGAAGATGTTTGGACTGGAGAAACTACAGAGATTAGTCGAGGATGAGAGAATCGCGAACGATGCAAAGCGCGACTAAGTGTCATCATGTTTCTAGATCATGGCCTGGGATAAGTGGTTGTTCGTTATGTTGTCGGCTTACTAAGGTATACTAAGGATCATAGTAAAATGTATCTAATGAGAGGTTGGATGCTGAAGAAAATACGCAACTTACATCGCTAGTTTGAACGGGCAACTTTTTGGATGACATTTTCGCTAAATAAATCTGATAGTACCAGGAAGAGTCGTTGTTTAACATTTCTAAGGGGAGATGTGCCCTGTTAAAGGGCTTCTAAAGTATTTAGTACATCAGGTGTATCGCACGTCTAATAATTTTTGTAACCTCCAGCCATTTTTTATCCGCCCAGCATCGACAAAGAATCATTCGTGAACTGTACCGCCAGGTAGCTGTGTCGCAACCAGGACATCGGAGCCAAATTTGCTTCCCCAGAACAGAGAACGTGCTGCAGAGAGACCCAGAAACAGAGAAACGGACTTCAATGCCCCGTAGCTTCTGATGGTTTCTCTTCCCTGGTCGGGTTTGCCGCTTCCACATTATCCTGGTTGCCCAACTTGATAGCCGAGCCTTCTATTCTAATCCACTTGATCCCGAAGGCTAGGAAAAAAGCCACACGGCGACAGCGACGAACTTTTCAGCGACATGTTAGCGAACCTGGAAACGCGAAGTCGGGTGTTAGAGATAGGGGCCTCACGTGTGTCTGAGCAATGGCAGAGTTGTACGACTCCATAATGGGGTCAAAAAGCGAGGGAAAGTATTTGTCCACAATGGCTCGTACGTTTGCGATACCGCTTCGGTAAAGTAGTTGTATCTGGTCGTGACTCAGCGCAGCTCGCGAGGCGAGCTGGCTCTCCAGACGCGCGTGGAAGATGGCACCGGCAATGACCTGCGTGACGGTAGCCCCAAGGAACTGGGCAAAGATGTTGAGAGAGACGCCGATGGGCAGGAGGTCGGCGCGGTCCTTGAGCGCTAGTTGGACCATTAGAGATGGCATCTGCATGGAGAAGCCGACGCCCAGGCCCTGAATGACCTGGAATCCGATCCATTGGCTCGATGGGGTATTGGAGACGGTGAACTGGGTGTATAGAGCAGCTGCGGTGCACATCAAGACGGGCCCGACAAAGAACCAAGGGTTGTAAAAACGGATTTTGAGGGCTGTGGTGACGCGTCAGCAGCCATCACGTGAGCGAGGGGATTGGGAATGTATGAACCGATTCCACCTGCGCAAATCGTTCCTAGTATTTGTGATATGACGGACGGCAGCACCCTTATGCCGCTCTCAAAGGGACTAGCGCCCTGGACTGCCTGGAACCACTCCGGGAGGTAGTAAGACGAGACGGATAGAGCACCAAGATGGCAGAAGGAGAAGATGACACTGAGCAGGACGGTGCGTCTTGTGACCAGCACACCAGGGATCATGGCCGAGTCTCCCAAGCGCGATTCCCAGATGCCGAAGAGACACAGCATGACGATTGATCCAACCAAAAGGCCAATAATCGTTGCCGACTTCCAAGGATACGATTTCCCGCCCCACTGTAGGGCGAGGATCAACATGAATATACCCGGGACGAAAATGAACGACCCAACGAGATCCAGATTCAAGATTTTCTTCATGGTGGTGGTTGGCTTACCTTCTCGTTGCGGCAACTTGAAGAAGAAGAACATGGCGAGCAGGATGACGGCCCCACCGGGTAGATTGATCCAGAAACACCAGCGCCAGGTGACCTTCTCGGTGAAGGCGCCGCCGATGATGGGGGCGAGAATCAGACCCAGAGCAAAGCAGCTGCTGCACAGGCCGATGTATAACGGCCTACGCTGGGGTGATGATATGGTCAAGACGACGGTGAGCCCTCCGCTGGTGACCGCAGCTGCGCCGATGCCTGAGACGGCACGGCCGACGATGAAGACTTCGCTTGTAGATGCCCAGCCGCAAATGGCACTACCGACAAGGAAGACGAAGAAAAAGCCTTGATAGACCCAGCGGAGCGAGAACACACTGGCCATTTTGCCCGCCAAGGGGGTGAGCGAGCAGACCGCCAAGGTGTAGGCTGCCGGATATTATGATATGTGTGATGTGTTCTGAAATTCGGATGTGATGGAGGGAATGGCCTGGCAAGAGCAAAGTCAGATATTTCCCCGACTGGGAAGAAGGAGAGACAGAAAAAGCGAGAGCAATTGTGTGTATTGCCGGGGCGACGAACCGTTCCGATGACATAGACATCGAGAGCCATGACAAAGGCGCCGAAGCAGACGCCAATAAGAACCATGTACAGCTTGAAGCCGTGCAGCTCCGAGGAGGCGACGCCGAACTGCTTGATGTTGTCTGCGTTGTTCGTCGCGGACGCTGGCGCCGATTCTACCACGGCTTCGCTCGCCTCACCGTTTCTGTTTCGGCCATCTAATGGCGATGATAATGATGCTATTGCAGTCATCCTTGTCTTCAGCCTTCAGTTATATTTGTGTATGGAGCGCTCAGATAATAGCGGGATATGACAAAAAGAAAAGAGCAGAGAGCGAGAAGCAAAAGAGAGGAGCGACAAGATCTGCAACGATTCTAACGTCGAGAAACTTTTTTGATTGAGACACAAGGAATATTGAATGAGGTTGGAAGGGAGAACCGATCGAAATTCGCCGGTTCAGCAGCATATTTGCCCACACTTGTCTGCCTGGCCTTTCAGGATCCAAGCGGCACAGCACTCCGGCGTTCAGCCCTTCATGAAGTGCCCTCAGCAATTGGCCGTTTGCTCAGTTTTCGTCCTCTGCTGATTCTTCCATTGGTGCGGCAAATTACAAGATGTACTCTGTGTTACGACCCAACATGAATAGCCAAGACCAAGGCCTGACCCTTAGGACCACTGCCTGCGGATATGGCGTATTCTTTCCGATAAAAACAAAGGAGAGAAAGAAATGACTCTTAAGATTTAAGAAAATTCTAAATCAATCATGTAAAGATAAATAAGATTATGAACGGTCGTAATAGGGCTACAAGTACTGATGTCAAAAAATAACCGCTTATTTCGTTCAATGACGAGGAGCCCGACTTATGCAAAAGGTAATAGCTACGTGGAGTGTCTTAAACATAGAGGTGAGAATCAGGCCTCTTTACGATCTTTGAATCACTACCGTTGAAGATTTCTTGACGGAGGTATGGAAAGACTAGACAAAGGGCGTTTGGGGAAACTGGTGTTCTGCTAGCTAGGTGATATTGCATCGATAACGCCGGAGTCAAACCGTGTATACCATCCAAAATTATTCTTCTCTAGGCTTTGGTCTAGCGTGATTGCAGAATGCGACTAATATCAAACTGGAAGACAGCCCTGAGAATGATTCCGGCCCCGCTCAGGTACGCTGCAGATCCCCGTGCCTGTTGGCAAGCCATATGTACTTTCCCTCTGTCCGTTCGTAATTACTCTATTGGGTGCACTGCACATCGTCGCAGCACGTGATTCGACCGACGTTGAGATCGTTGCATTGAATAGAACCGCAGAAGTTCTTCTTAGCACCGCCTGAGCCGCAGGTCTTGTCGCACTTGATCTGTTGGCAAGATGCGCTAACACCGGCGGTATAAATGACGGCGGCGACGAAAGCAATAGTGATATTGGTGAACTGCATGTTGATGATGTGCTTCTGTAGGGCTGGTTGTATCTTGAGAGTTTCTTGGAGACCTTGCACGGCGGTCAGTCCGAGGATCTAGCTATTTTCACGACTCGGAGATCTACTGACAAGAGGGCGGTAGTGCTGATAGTTCTGGGGAATGATGATGAGTTGATGTGTACAAATGATATGGATTGTGGAATCCGCAGTGCTGTGCTGTGGATATCGTCTGTTTTATACTTGATTGACCGTAGAGAACAAGGAGATCCGGAGGGATTCTGAAGTTTGATACTAGTCACTCCCTCGAATGCATCGAGTGTCTAGCTGTTTGGAATGGCATACCCTGTCAATTATCTCAGTAGTATCACTCTTTGAAGAATTATCCAATTATGAAACTAACTCGGAAGCCATGCTTAGACATCGCAAACCCCTAGCAAATGCATTGCAACAGGATAGCGTATAAACTAAGCGAACCCTTCCACCCTAGCCGCACATACCGGCGACTTACAGCTGTCAGACGAACATGAGACGATTGTATCGAGTCATGCCATAGCTTTAAACTCTTCTCTGAAACGTGAGCAGAACAAGGGAACATGTCGATTCAGCTCCCTAGCCGTGTTTGAAAAGTCCGCTGCTAGCTCGCGGCGTACGCAATCCCATTCCGCTTTCGCGTGTCAAGAACGTGACAAGAATAGAACCATGACCGGACTGTTGGTTCCCTGGAGACATGAATGAGCCTCTAAGGCCGGCATGGTAGGCCTGGAGGTTGCCGGCCTGGAGGAAGGGACACGACTCAGAACGAGCAATCTGACTTTTGCTGGATCACTCGATGACTAAGATCATTGGGTCACTCTGGTGAGTTGAGCAAGCAATGAGCCAGATAAGTCGACTTCACCAACAGGCTGGGGAGATGAACTGTTTATCTAGAACATGCTCAAAACTCGGTTGGTAGCATTAGCTGAGGACAGCTCTGAAATATTTACTTTAATCTAAGTATTCACCCCGAGACGTAGAGTTTTCAATCCATCGTCACGCAGTGCCCAGAGTAGCAACACCTTGGACGTTCCCTGAGCCTTTGCAGGGTTGTGGCTGCGTGACCTCGTTGGCAGAGAGTACGAGACTGAGACACGGAAGTCATGGGTACATAGCAAGAAGCAGATTGCCGGGACGGACGCCAAACCGTGACCACGATGGTGCGAGGTATGGGAAACAGCTCATACCCATATACTGAGTGTACGATCCCGTGAATAAAAACACCCTTTCTGGGCTTGCTCATGCTTCTGCTTAAGTACAAGTCAAGCCGCTTAAGGTGAGGCAATCACCGTAACGATTGTGCTAGGTCTACCAGACACCATCTCTGGCGACAAATATCAGTTCGAATTCTACAAGCATCCAATCCTTGGTGTTGTTGGGCTCTCTTTGTAATACAACAAGAAGGAGGCATTCTTTCTTAGTCCTGGTCGGTTCTCTGCACTATCTTAGACCACGCTGCGTAGGTCAGTGTAGTTAGCTGGTGTTTCGCTGAGGTTGAGGACTCAGATCCTCAATTCGACAAAGTTCTAGACAGCGTTAACGATATCAACCTCACACAGAATACAACCTACGGACAACGTTTGGAGACACAACATTTCTATCCCCGATTATCAAACTAGTTTGGACCACCCTATATCAATTATGTGCCTCTTTCATGCCCTAAAACCAACATGAGACCCTGCGCTGTTTCCGAAGAAGCTACGAGAAACAACACTTGCTCATGTACCTCGCTTTGAACAGGAAGTATTGACCACGGGTGCCTCTGAAATATTTCAGCAGATCAACCTGCTTCAATGGCCCAGGGTGCATTCGCCTCCAGATTAGGCAGGATTTTACTAGCAGGTGTACGAAGTCCGACATCTATCTGAGCTAGAAATTAACGACATGTTCCGGAAGGTCATCTAGTACTAGTTTTCAGACGCAGAAACCTTGCAAGAGCTGGGAGCAAGGCAGTATGATGCGTTGCATCACACAAAACGATATGGTGAAAGCGTTCCCAATGGAACTAATTGGTTATTCATTCTCCCCGTATGTGCAGCAAGCTGCTTGCCAATCTCTAAGACACCAAAAGCTGGTTTTTCAACAGCTTGCGTCCGAACCAAACGAGGCTTGAGATAGCTTATTCTTAATCCGAGGGATAATCTTCGGAAATAGGCAGATGTTCCAGGAGATGATTAGATTCATAGAAGACAGGGACATCCGGCCGGCAGCAGACGATGTGAAGTTCTCATTAAAAGATGTCAAACTGGCCATCGAAAGGCTTCAAAAGATGGAGCACTTCTCCAAAGTCATCATAGAAGTTGAGTCCTGGAAAATACTGTCTGGATTGCAATTATGAGGTCTGAATAGAAGACAGCTTGTCCTTTCACACATCCTCTCATCATTAAGAGGGTAAAAGCTGCCAGAAAGATAATGACTGGTTTCTCCGTCTAGCAAAAGTGGCTAGGAAATCACATTCAAAGTGGAAGAGGAGAATTCGATTTCTCCCCAGAGTATTGTTCTGGTCGTCAGAATTGAGTTTGGATCAGTAAGTTGAGTGATTGTCACTAAGCATCTGGTCGCTCATCAGGCCAGAACGCGTGCTACAAAAGTGGTCGCTGTCCTTCTCCGACCTAGACGCAGCGTCCAATGCCATCAAGAAAGCATAGGACGAGGTGAACCAGTCGTCCAATGCCTTTGGCTTATCATGTCAGTTGCCCATTCGAATAGCGTGAGAGGAAGCTGATGCATTCAAGCTCAACGCCATATGCAAGCCGGCCTGCAAGAAATGCTCGAGCGTTTCAACGCTCCAGTCCGCCGGTGGAACGAAACACTTCATCAGATGACTGGTCGGATCGACCGTAAGCCCTCTTTCCTAAGCACCCCGACTCTGCTAACGTGCAGGGCTGCCCTGCAACTACAAGCATGTTGCACTGATGTAGCAGTTCAAGAGAGCTCCGGACGTTTGCCAAAGACGCTCAAGGACCTTTACCAAGAGATATCCACAAACATTGAAGAATACGAAGCCGAGTCGGATCGGCGAACTACCCAAAATGCCCAGAGCTGGCTACTTTGCGGGAGGGAACAACCGTATTAGTAGTTTTCCTTGAAGCAGTAACCAATGCCCTCACGGCATGGGCTCAGTTGTACGTTCAGTTCGGTCTCTTGAAGCTGTTCTTCAGAAGACAAGATCACACGTCACGTAATGTCTGATCCTCCGTTATGCTATCGTACCTTGAGGCTGCATACTTGTGCATTCAGACAGACGAGGAAGCTAAAAGAAGAATTCGAGATGTCCACAAACACCCTCTTACATGGATAACCTCAGAGCGAGGCATCTCTGCAGACTGAGACTTTTCTTGGAAAACTTTGACAGTTTCTTAACAGTATCATGAAATGTGTTACCCCTGGTTTTGGTCGAGTAAACCCAGCCATCCTTGTTATGTTTCTCGTAATGCAACTAACCCCTCTCTCCTTTACCTACTGGGTACTAATCTCTTCAACAGATCCGACATTAACTTTAGTCACAGCAGATTTCTTCTCATCCTTCTCGTTGACACTTGCCACCGACGAGACATCCGTGTCAGCTTTATCACCTGCATCCAGCCCATCAACACTCCCGCTCCACTCTCGTTGCTGGACGACGTCTCTGTGGACTCCTTGACCAGCTCATCCGTCGTTACGCCCGAGGATGTCGGGGCAGGACGACCACCGACACGCTCCAGCAGCTCCGCCGGCAGCTTATCGACCACGAGACGCACAAGGTCCGCAATAGACGCGCCGCCCGGGATCGTCATGACCGGCACGTCTACGCCCAGCTCCTTGAGGAACCACGAGCGCATCTTGACGGCGACCAGGCTGTCGACGCCCATCTCCACGAACAGCGTCGCGTCGTAGATGCTGTCGGCGTCGGGCAGGAACTTGAGCGCCTGTGAGTTGGCCTTGAAGGTGGCCAGGAGGATGCTCTTGACCTGGCCCATGGTCTTCGCCGCCTCGAGTAGCTGTCGCACGGGCACGGCGTTGCCGTTGCCGCCGCCGCCGCAGCTAGAGAGCTTCTGTCCCATCTCAAGGATCAGCAAGCCGAGACGGGGGTTGCTAGACCAGTAGGCATGTTTGGCATGCTCGGTGGTGATGGGGACGATGCCGTTTCATCAACTCCAGAGTGTTGCTTTAAGTATAAGACAAGTTGCTAGAATACGAACACAAACTCTTCATTCTCCAAATCCGTCAAATTGTCGAACGCTCTCGCACCAACATTCTCCTCAGCCTGCTCCTCCCCGGCGGCAGCCATCTCGTGCCCATTATCCCCAGCTATCTGCGCAGCCTGCTCTTGCTTGGCCTTCTCAGCCTCGGCCGCGGAAAACAAACTCGTGTCGATGATGACGGCGCTCTTTCCCATGGCCACACGGCGCTTGCTGTGTGAGCGGTTGAGGAAGGCGAGATATAGGCTGACGAGGACGACAAGCACGACAATGACGCAGTAGAGAACGAGATTGGACGTCAGGCCGCGGGTGTATCTGGGTGCTTCAGCGGGCTTGTAGAGCAACGGCCCAACGACGTTGCCAACTGATTGGCCAATGAAGAGGACGGCAGATGTGCACTTTCGCTTGGTGTCGCCGGCTGTGTTTGCGGCTGACCAGGAGTAGATGAGGGGTGCTGGACATTTGTCAGCCAAAGGATATCAAGCTGAGTGAGTGAGGGCTGGAAAGGCTTACTGATTCCCGGATAGACAGAGATGAGATAGTATCCCACTAGTCGAGCGGCTTGCTGACCGCTAGTGGGAAGGACCATTAACATGACGCAGCCAGCGATGGGCGGGACGCAAAGTCCGGCAATGACTGGGCCCTTCTTATGGATCTTGGTAGCTATCCACGAGCCTCCGACTGTGGCGACGAGCTGGACGAAGCCAAAGGGAATGTTGAAGAGGATGGTCTGGAAGGAGTCAAAGCCAAAGGACTTGATGATAAGAGGGCCGAATGTGGAGATTCCACCAGACGGGATTCTGCCATCCATTAGTCCTTATGATTACCTGTACAAAGGGGTGAAGACACTCACGAGATGGAAAAGACGAGTGAGAACCAGCACCACGTCTTGATATCCAACATGCTCTCTCTGAAATGATCCCATCGCCACTCACGGGACAAGACACCCTGTTGGTTCATGCGGAGACGCTCAATGGCAATTAGCTTGTCATGATCGTTGAGGAACTTGGCCTCGACGGGAGAATCGGGCATGTAGAGAAACATGATAACGGAAAAGACCACAGTGATGATACCGAAAAAGATGAAGATGATCTATTCGGACTAGTTAGTATTTGAGGTGTATGACTACATGTGTATCGCTCAAGTTGAGGACCTACTTGGTACTCCTTGAGGGGAGAGGAGATGTGTCCGAGGCCGTAGGTAATGAGACTACCAAACTATGGGGTGTTAGCAAAGCTACAAAGGGGCTCGAGATCAACATCGCGTACCATGTTGGTGAAGCCGTTCATGGCATACCAGTAGCTAATTCTCAGCGTCTGCTCACGTCGCCGCCACCACATTTGCGTAATACCCACAAACGCCGGTGCAACACTAGACTCGAACGCCCCAAGAAAGAGTCTTGCAGCCAAAAGCCCACCAAAGTTATGCGCCGCCGCCATGCAAGAAAGAGTGATGCCCCAAAAGGCAACCATGCAGCTGGTGAATTTGCCAACGGGCAACTTGACCAGCAGCCATGCGAGCGGGAATTGCATCACCAGTTGAGCGAGGTAGACGACGGACCCGAGCCACGAGTATTGGTCCCCGACGAGCCCGGTATCCTCGATGAGGCCAAAGACGGAGGCGTAGGCGAGGGTGGACTTGTCGATGCCCTGGAGGAAGTAGACGAAGAGCATCAGGGGAAGGATAACGAGGTCGATCCTGCGCAGGACGCGGGTGTTGTCTGCGGGCGTGACGACTACGCGGTCCTCTGGCGAGGCGCTTGATTTGCCTAGCAGCTCTGCGGCGGCATCGCGGCGGTGGGTGATCGTTTCTTGGTGGGCGGGTGCGTGTTCGACTTGGTCTACCGGGGCCTTGTTTTGGTCCTCGTTTGTCGCCATGTTGACGGGACTTCTCTGGCAAAGTGTCTCTAGCTGCAAAGTGATGGACTGATTCCACTTCAGGGGCGAAGGCAAGTTACGACGAGAACGCAAAACTTCAATGGAACATGAGAGTAATATGCATGGTATTGGAGAGAGAACCCGGGGATTATAGATATGAGCGGCATTTGTCCCAAAACATGTCGGCTGATACAGTGGCTGCGAGTCGGTCGCCGAGAAGGGGGCCCGACAAGGGTGCTAGTAATTAGTGTGATTTTCTTCAGGCATCGGAACACGGTTTTGGTAATAACGGCAGGGGAACTCGGCCAAGGTGGCTAGCAGGCCGTCCTTGAGCCGCTAAAGGCTTGTTTCCGTAGATGACGCTGAGGGTCAATTCCCCCATTGGCCTTTTTCTTTTTCGTATTACACTGAATTTTGATACGACGGCACCACACTTTGCTCGATCGACTTCTTACTGTGACTGTTGGGATGATGGGCTCGGGTTGACGTCGTACATCACGTCTCTTGACTCGGATATTTCAGCGCGTAGAACTACGTCGTCGGACTACAGCACAGCGCTACAAACACTGGACCTCCACGCCTTCCGCGCATCTCTCAAGACGGGGGCGGTCAACGAGTGCCGTGTCACAGACACGAGATGGAGACTTTGCGAGGGCGAGTAGCGGGGTGAAACCCGAGGATTGAAGCATCACGAGTGGCTGGAAGGCTTGGTTGTCTCGTCTCCGGGTGGAGGTCATTAGCTGAACTCCACACATGGAGACGAAATCATATTCCGCGCGGGGGAAGTTGGGGATTTGTTGGGGGGGAACATTGGGGGGGACGGGAATATTGGTGCAACAAACTGCCCCAGATTGTGCCCCAGAGTCTCCAGATTACGAGATCAATCGCGTGAACAATGCGGAGGATGAGAGGGGAGGAAAACGCGGAGTTGAGAGGAGCTGAGAACATCTGGAGGAGACTAGGACAATCAGACGAGAACTGGGACCGACTACGCGGCAACAAATTCGGAAGTTGGCCGACATCGCCGTCCATTGGCCGCAAGAAGTCCGTCTCTCAACTCTCTTCCGGCTTGTTGCCGTCCCCCGCAGCGGCTCGGCGGTTGTATTTCCTCTTTTGGGGCGGCATCGATGTCGGCTTCTAACTGCTTTTGGGTCGGCTCAAAACACGAGACACCGCAATGATAATCCACCACGAGTCAGCATACTACAACTTCATTGGTCTCGTGCCTTGAGATGACCACGATGATCCAGCTGTTCCCCGTCGGTATCCTTGGTCCCGTCTGGGGGATGTGGATTTCGGGGTGGCTTCGGGGTAACGCTGTTCTCGACTCTCCAATGACATGCTTGGGCTACACGTAACTCGGGACACCATTTGCACGAGGTTAGTGGGTTTAATGTTGTGGTCTTTGACTCGGATGCCGAGTCCGAGTCCTTTTCACGATGCAATTCGCATTATCAGGCGCAGACAAAGCTGTCAAATATCTTCCTTTTAGCCAAAAGTGAGAAATACTGCGACATCGGAAAGCCTCAAACTTTAAGAATACGTTCATCTGCTCTCCCACAGCTTAGGGTCCCTCCTCTCATTTTCTACACAAGCAACATCACAGCTCCGCCCTCATTTCCCCTCATTGTAATAAGAAGGGCACCCGGAACCCAACTCAGGCCAACACCTCAACTCGAAGAAGGTTGGGAGTTTCACGCCGGTATCAAGAAATTCAAGATGCTTCTCCAAAACGAAAAGATTCCCACCGGCTATGCGCCTCAAGAGGTCAAGGGTGCTGCTGCTGCATCGTCCATACAACTCAAGTCCTCAGAAGGCCATCCCGAGGACTTCACCTTCACATTTGAGATCGTGAGGTCAAACGTCTTCCGCACAACCGTCACGTCTGAGACGCGCCCTATCCCCCCTTTCCCCAGCGCACACAAGCCAAGCGCGGACCTGGTCCCGAAAGACATCCAGATCAAGACATCAGAAAAGTCACAATCATTCACAACCTCCGACGTTAAGGCTGTCGTTGAATGGTCAAACACCCCTATCATCTCCCTCTACGTCGGCCAAGATGACTCCGGCAAGCCCATCCACGCCGATCTCCCCTTCCGCTCATACGCCGCGGACGGGCCCGGTATCGCCCACTACTCCTCTTACAAGAAGCATACTCTCCATGTCGGACTCGGAGAGAAGGCGGCGCCCATGGACCTCGCCGGCCGCGGCTTCATCATCTCCGCAAGTGACACATTCGGATACGACGCCTACCGCACGGATCCGCTGTACAAGCACATCCCGCTCCTCATCAACGTCACGCCCGAGGGCGCTGTCGGCATCTTCTCCACAGCTCACTCTCGTTCGACCTGGTCCATCGGATCCGAGCTCGATGGAATGTGGGGTGCGTACAAAGTGCATCGCCAATCTCATGGCGGTCTTGAAGAGTACATCATCGTCGGCAAGACCGTCGCCGAAGTCGTACACTCATACGCTGAGCTCGTTGGATTCCCCCTGCGTGTACCGCGTTACATGATGGGTTACATTGGCGGTGGCATGAAGTACAGTGCCATGGACACCCCGCGTGCCCACGACGCCATCATGGGATGGATCAAGAACTGCGAGAAGCACGACATCCCATTCTCTGCATTCCAGATGAGCTCTGGATACACTGTAGCTGAGCAGGAGCCCAAGACGCGCAACGTCTTTACCTGGAACTACCACCGTTTCCCTGATCCGCGGGCCTTTACCCGCGAGGCGCACTCCCACGGTCTCCGCCTGCTGGCTAATGTTAAGCCGTATGTGCTTGCCACGCACCCGGCGTACAAAAAGTTGTCCGAAGACGGCGCCTTCTTCAAGGACCCCGCTACCGGAAAGACTGCGGTGACGAGACTTTGGAGTGCTGGTGGAGGCGAGAGCGGAGAGGGAAGTCACCTGGACTTCACCAGTAATGCAGGCTACCAGTGGTGGTATGATGGCGTCGTTGGCCTGAAGAAAGTCGGTATCGATGTCATGTGGAACGATAATAATGAGTACACTGTGCCGGACGACGAGTGGCAGTGCGCTCTTGAGAAGACGGACATCATCCCGATTCCCGATGGCCTCAGCCGCAAGGATGTCGGCATCTGGGGTCGCGCCATTCATACCGAGCTAATGGGCAAGGCTTCACATGATGCAACAATTGAGGGCAAGCCTGAGGAACGCCCCTTCGTTCTCACGCGTAGTGCCACGGCCGGAACCATGAAATACTGCGGTGCTTCATGGAGTGGTGACAACGTGACAGCCTGGGAGTCCATGAGAGGCGGAAACTCTTTGGCCCTCAACGCCAGCTTTTCCCTCCTTCACGTAAGCATTCCCCAAAGACATAATCATATAAACTCCAGACTAACAGGTCCCCAGTGCTACGGCCACGACATCGGTGGCTTCGAAGGCCCCCAGCCTACCCCAGAGCACCTTGTCCGCTGGATCCAACTCGGCGTCCACTCCCCACGCTTCGCCATCAACTGCTTCAAGACCAGTGAGGCAGATAATCTCATCGGCGGCGTCATCGAGCCATGGATGTACCCTACCGCGACGCCCATCATCCGCGCTACCATCAAGCGCCGCTACGAGCTCGTGCCCTACACCTACTCCCAGAACCTCCGCGCCCACCACACCGCCGTCCCGCCGCAGCGATGGACCGGGTGGGGTTATGAGGCTGACCCGGAGGTCTGGACCAAGGCGATCAAGGACGGCGATACGCAGTTCTGGTTCGGCGATGCCTTCATCATTGGTGGTGTTTACGAGCCTGGTGTCGATACCGCGAGGGTGTATCTCCCGAAGAAGGGCGACGGTAGCGACTTTGGCTTCCTCAACACAAATGCGCCATATGAGCACTTTGAGGCGGGTAAGTGGCACACTGTGCTCTCGCCTTGGTATAACTCCATTCCCGTCATCGCAAAGATTGGCTCGGCCGTCCCTGTTGGCAAGCCGCTCGATACTTCCTCGGTCAAGGAGACGGATCCAGAGTTCCCGAACCAAGCCAAGGATGACTGGCGCGGCGTGGAGATCTTCCCTCCGCCTTCGCTGCGTGGAGCCGCTGCTCAGGGATCTGAGACGGAGCTGGGCGGTGATGATGTGAAGGGCGTGGTTTTCGAGAGTAGCTGGTACGAGGATGATGGTATCAGCCGCGAGGTGCCTGCCGAATTCAAGTTCACGATCCGATATGAGATTGTCGATGAGCGGATCTCGGTCGAGGTTAAGACTGTTGTTACGGAAGGCTCAAAGGAGAAGTGGAGTCCTCTGTGGCTCGAGAAGGGCGTTGATGTGCTGCTGCCCGTAGGAGAAGAAAGGATTGTGGTTGTGAACGGAGCCGAGGCTCAAGAAAAGTCCCTAGATGCCAGGGGCAGGAGAGTATGGAACGTGCCTGTTACATTGTAAGCGCTGTCCAGTTTCTTCGTTCCTACGGGATACAATATTGCAATATGAATTATGACGGCTCTTCAATTGATGCTGGTGTCCGGGATAAATCACTCGTGAAATCAATGCATCGCCGAACCCGACAATGGGCGTCTCCATTTAGTTCACATGTTTGGAAGGAACAATCCCACGGGAAGGACAGAATATTTTCATGATCATCGTAGTTTTATTGGGGGGTATGTAATGTGGTATCGATGTTCTATGAGCCGATGCACCCGTTCTAGCTCAGAATCATCCTTCCCAAGTAACTATTGAGTACCTTTGTTGAGTACTTAGCCAGCTTCATGCTTGATTCATCCAAGTTCATCTCTCAACGATGAGCGTCTGCAAGGTTGCAGCACCAGAAGACCCCTTCCGATGTAATCACTCCCGATTCATACCTGTGTCGATGTCAATCCATCCAATGACTCGATGACAGCAGATCTGTGTAGTTGGGACACCGGCCCAGTGTATAGTAGGAACACGAGCCTAAGCTATGAAAGGGACACGAGCCCAGTGCCGCTAGCTGTCGTAGTTGATGTGTCCATTGCATGTTGCAATGTGTGACGAGCTAGATGTACAGCGTCTCCAAGGACTTCAGACCAGAGAAGACGGCGCGCCATTTGCCGCTACGCTTCTTGCTCTTAGCCTTGCAAGCAACATCTATAGTGCGACGAGGGTCTTCGTAACCACTGTACTCAACAACAGCGTGCTGGATATTCTTGCACCAGGCTGATAGCTCAGATGAGACGCTCATTCTGTACAAGGGAGCTTTCATGTGCAGGACATCAATGGTCGAGTTGAAGGAGACGACATCAGTGAAGCGGGAAGTCTGGCGATTGTGAACCTCAATATCGAAGCCCAAGCCCTGGTCGGTGTCCTCCAAGCGAGGCATGCGGACCTTCTGGCGGATAGAGTGTGCGATATCACGAGACAGGTAGTTGATTTGATTGTCGATGGCGTTGTAGTTGCTGATCGACTCCTCTTTGCCCTTGAGATGAAGCTTTGAGATTTCGCGTTCCTCTCTGTCTAGTCTGTTGCCGTTACCCTTGATTGGGCGGCGGTAGTCGTGGATGACTGCGTCAAAGTGACGAGGCTCGAGGTAGAACTCCTTCCAGATCATGACTTGGATCTCGCAAGGGAACCTGGCGAAGTAGTGGAAGCTGTCTGTTGAAGCTTGAGCTTCGACCTTTTCTTGGCCTGCGGCTTCGACTTGAGTGTCGGCCTTGGTCTTGGCTGCTGTCTTGAGATTGGTCATCTCGCTGACAGTGGAAGACTTCTTTGTAGGCTTGTTGCAGCGATGAGCACACATTGCGAATGTTGTTTGTAGATGAAGAAGAATTGGGTGAGTAGAATATGTGGGTTGTTTAATGTGAAATGCTCAAGAGACGAAGTCTGAAGAATGGTATATGTAGGATGGATGGATGAATGGATGATCTGGTGGGAATTAGAGAAGGAGAAGGCACCTCTTTATGCCCTCTGACCGGGCGTCTGGCGGAGAGTTCGTAAATCTTGGACCCAACCTTGTCTATTAGCTTTCGGCCTTCCATGGTTCGGAACTGCGCGTGAGTCCATTGATGGCCGCCAGGCTACCTAGGCCAACCAAGATCGTGGGCAAACCACCCACGATTTTCGCCCAAGTTCCTTCCATCAAATTGAGATCAAAGGGATAGTAGTGACATGCACATTTCAGATACTTGTGCAAAATACTTATGCTATCGTTTAGATCATGAGAGCAGTCCGATAGAACGCCTCATAATCTTTCAACCTAGAATAATTCCAATTAAAGCTTATGATGCTCTCTATTGAAATTTCCTTTCCCAGTTAGTCAAATGATCGTGCGAAGTACATAAGTAGATGCTCTGGATTGTCCCGAAATCTTGGTAGGTTCAAGTGAACTTCTTCTAACCGACTTTCCGGTAAATCCTCCAACTGAATGTAACCTACGACGGAGTTACCTAGAGATTGGAAAGTTAGCTCCCTAAATTGGGTACATCGACACCTTTTGCATTCCACTGAACCACATCGGCCTCGTATCTAGGTTGACAACCGAAAGGTTATAGCTTGGACTTACCTTTATCCCATTTCCATACTGGTGTCACATGACGCATCAAAATTTCTTTGTCTTTTGCGTTGCCCTAGACGCTGCGTATGTTCCACTTTTCTTCGTGTTCAGAACCTAGCTAACGGAGATGGAGACGACTATAGTGCTCGGATGTATCCATAAACCTCTTTGCTTCCATAATCCAATCCATGTCCAAGTCTGCATACAGCATACTCTCTTCATCTCCCGGGAGGTCGTTGAAGAGTTTCCTTCCATCAGGTTTGTAAACTGCACAGCCTCCACCGCCCGGTTTGTTGCATAGCTGTCCAGAAAGTGTCTGCATCTTGTCAATCATTTCTTGGGTGAGAACATCCGTACAGCGCAGCACGAAACATGAACCTTCAACCACGTGAGTTCGAGACATGCTTTGTTGTCCTAGTCTCGTGTCAGCATCTCCCTCACAGCAGATGTGACGCAAGTATCAATCAGTAGCGATTGGAGCTTTGAATGCTTTCCCGAACCCGCAGGCAATTGATTGTTAGCTTACAAATCGGGCGTTTGCCTTTCAATTGCCGAGAGTCCGTGGAAGCGGGTGGAGAATGCCCCTCATGCGGGTTTCTTTTTCCTCTTTGATACATTATTATCCCAAAACAGCATGTTTGAGCCGCTACAGTCTTTTTCGCTGGATACTGTAGAAATGCCATTACTCAATTGGCTAAACGTGGTCTGCTCAATCTTAGTTCAATGTGTTGGAAAAGTCGGTTCGAGTTAGAATATCCATGAAACATTCTCCTCGGGCAAACCTGTGTCCATCCTGCGGCTTATGAGTGAAAAGAGAGAATGGTTATTACAAGCTTGCTACTTAGGGGACTAGGTCATAAGGATTCACGGGGAAGAGATACCCTTCTTCGCCATAGTCTGTTTGAAGGCTTCCAGAGCAACCTCTGGTTGATAAGCAGGCACTTCATGACCCGCCTCATGAACCCTCAGCCAACTCAAGTTCTTGATGTTCTTGTACTCGCCCATCTTCTTGCCGTTCATTGTGAAATCTTTCATCTCTGCCTTTTCGAACTCCTCACCCCCGATCTTCTTCGCTGCGTTGTAATTGCCAATATAGTTGCAGATGAAGTCTATGGGCGATAGTCAGCAATGTTACAAACATCTCAGAAGAACATGCCGAGACTGACCAGCGTCACCAGACCAAATCAGAACTTGGACATCCTTCTTTGTGATATCTTGAAGCTTAGTGAGGAAAGATCGCTGACCTGGTAGCAGCTGAGTCAGCTTCAAATATGGTTAATTCGCGTTAAGTACACCTACCATCGCCGGTCGAGGTGAACTTATCGTATGGTGCTTGAGGGCACTCTTGGTACTCAGATTTGGCACCGATCGCCTTCATGACCTCAGGCTTCTTGATGTATGCCTGATAAGTTCCGGGAGGGAATTTGTCGTCCGCGGCTCTAACATCGTACACGTTAAAAGTCTTAGCCGCTTCGATGGGTGCTTCAACGGCTGCATAGCACGCATTCTCAGCGGCCACGCAAGCTTCGTTCTGTCCCTCGAGGCCAGTGCACTTTTCCATCGCAGGCTTGCAATCCTTCTCATAGGCCTTAGTGAGCTCATCAAACTTGGGCTGGTCGATGATCTTGTTGTACGTGTTGTTCACCGCATACTCCAGGTAATCTTTGTATTGAACGACTGTCACGCGTTGTCAGCATCCATCGTCTCAACTTACGTCAACGCCGTGAAAAATTCGCATACCTGGGTCGATCCATCCGTTTCCGATACCGAGAGCGACAATCTTGATCTTCTCCCCTTTGACAGTGCCCTTGTCGATAGCGTCATTCTGAGCCTGGAAGTGATCGATGAACTCCGGGCCGTAGTGGCCGCCGTAAGACTCGGTGAACAAACCGAACTCACGGCCCTTGTAATCGGGAAATTTGCTGTAGAAAGATTGCATCAACGCCCAGACTTTTGGCGCGGCCTTGACGGTGCTGTCTGTATCACTCGTGCCGTAGCTGAAACCGGCTCCGATTGGCTGATCCACATAGAGCTTTGATGAGCATGCCGCCGTCAGCATGGAACATGGGGTAATAGCATTGAAAGACAATGTGAGTGTGCGGAGACAGCACGGTAAGAGGACGAGCGCGGTTGTATTAAGCTTGTGGGGCCGTGTCAATCACACACCGGGACGGACGGAGACTCACCATATTGGCAACATTGTTCCATGAGTTGGGGTTCAGAATGGGATCTGCGCCGGGGGCCTTGTTGAAGGTGCATGGCCCGTTTTCTTGGAAAAGGCCGAGCATGGAGCTGCAGCCCGGACCACCGTTTAGCCACAGAGCGACGGGGGCCGTATTCGCATCTTTGCGAGCTTCGAAGAACCAGAAGAACATGTTTTGATCGGTACCTGCGGTATCTCGTCAGCATCTCTGGCGTCATCGTAAGGATGGTGAGAATTGAGGTGAGGAAGAAGACTTACCGACGTCGAAGTAGCCAGAGTATTGCTTGACGCCCTTGGTCGTCTCGCAGATTCCCGAGTCCTGAACGTATCTTGTTCTGGAGCTCGTCGCCGCATGCTCATAAACCGTGAAGTTCGTTCCCAAGTCAGACATAAGGCTGTAGGTCCTGTCGACGGAGTAGGTCTTGGGCGTCGCCAGCGCAAGACTGAGGCTAGCCAGGCCCAGAGTGGCCACAGAGCAAGGAAGCGCAACTCTCATTTCGGCACCGCTGCTTCGACAGATTGGTAGAGACGGCAAAAAGATGGAGGTGAAATGATACCAGATCGCTGCGGGAGTGAGCAAAGATCTGATGATGCAGGAGGTGGCAGGTGGACGGTATTTGAGCTCAGCACGATGTGTGGAAGCACGGGTTGTGGAGGGTGCAGCGCGGGGACGCCAAGTAGGACAGTCTTAGCCGATCTACGCAAGTAGAGTTC